CTCTCGGGTGTTCGTTCCAGCATCTATCTCCGAACCGGCAGCGGCCCTCCAGGAAGAAGCTGCAGATCGCCATCAGAACCACTGGCACACATCGAACACCCCGGAAATCCTCCCAGAGGCCACTGGGAATGACAGTGTATGTGAGGGACGTGACGTCAGAGGAAGGGCGGGGCTTATCGTCTGGCGGTGGCGGACTGTACGGTTTTTATAAAGGAAAACTCAGGAAAGAGAAGAGATACCAAAGAGAGGGTCATAGAGAGACTCAGTCCCTTGCAGAAGTGTCCATTGGGCTGGGCGCAGAGTCGTGCAAAGTGTGGGATGATGGGCGGGGTGGAGAGGGGGGTAGGGGGTGCTAGTAATCAGGTGGAGTGATAACACTTCCTGCACTACTTTCCTTATCCCCAATATTGTGACTTGTGTCTTCACCCATCAATGGTGCTTCCCGCACCCAACAGACTGATGGCACTCACTAACCTAACCATCATACCTACCCAGTTCTTTCTTCCCCATTACCTGATCCTGTCTTCCAGCATCCCCCACTGTTCTGTGCTAATCTAACTCAACCACCAGCACCTCCAGATGTTCATACTAATATTGGAAACCCACCCCTATGTGCATGCCCATAAAATAATGGCCGACATTCTGTACCTGATATGTAGCAGCTTACACACATAATGTGCTTGCAATCCATCAATGACTTCCCACATTGCTTTATTCTATGCCCCAAACCAAGCTTTTCCATTGCTCTCCTTCCCCAAGTAATCTCAGTCATACATCCACTTACCTCTGGACAATGCACATGGGTGAGTAGTAGCTCAATCACAGTATTAAAATCATTAGTAAATAATTGGTAATCTAATGCAGCCTTTCTCAACCAGTGTATGTGACACACAAGGGTGCCTTCTGGATTTGTCAGGGGCGCCTTCAAATTTTGCAGTTTTCATTAGCCAGCCACCATCACCATAGAAATGCATGACGCTAATCTGGGGGTGAGGGTTACATGCAGGACCTCCCGAAGCATTCAGAAGACAGAAATCCACTTCTGTCGCGTCCTGCCCTCTGCCATGTTGCACTGTGGGGAAGATTAAGATAGGACTCTATTGTTGTGAAAGAGGGGCACTCTGATGTAAAAGGGGGGGCTGTTTGTTTTTGGAGTGGAGTTCCCCTTAAAATCGATACCAGACTCTACCTAGGATAAGGATTTTGGGGGAAACCACACTTTATTTTTTACTTCTTAGACTGGAGGGTCGTGAGATTTTGTTTGGTTTTAAAGGGTGCCACAACTAAAAATAGGTTGAGAAACACCGATCTAATAGAACAAGTGGCTTCCTGTGGTGTGAGCTACACAAGTAGCGATTAATAACACATGATCTCACAATGCTCCAGATGTGTGAGTGGTTGCAACATGCAGGTTACACCACAGGGACCGATTTGCTCCATCTATGTAGTGATCAAATACTAAGGTGGCCATACACCTTACAACCATTGTACAACTTGTTTTGTTCTGCCATTGCATCTTTGCTCTATTTTTATTCTATTTTTATTCAAACAGCCCATCATGCACTTGGACCAATGTACTTTGTGATTACCACTAACTAGCTGAATTTCGTCGGCCGAAAACAGATTTACGTTTGCGCATGTGCAGTATTCATCTTGCGATTTTTGTTGCACAAAAACACCACTAATCCGTCGATTTTCATCCAACTTGACGAACATTTTCTAGCTTGCTTGAAAGACGAAATTTGCCCAGTTGTACAGTAATTGTGGTTGTGCACTTCCCATCAGCTGGCCAATTTTCGGACGAAACCGCGTTTGCGGACAAAAATTGGACGATCATTGTAAGGTGTATGGGTACCTTTTAGTCGCTTGCAATTTTAGTAGAATGATTGAGTTCCTAAAATCACTTTTCGGCCCCTGCTGTGATGCCCACCCTCACCTTCTCCCACCACATCCTTTCCTGTGTGCTTAGGATGAGTGTTCCGTTGCTATTGATACAATTGCAGAATTCTCCTATGAACTGTAGTGTTCCCTTCCTGTTTTCCTTAAGGGCTTGTTTCCACCAATTGCAGATGGTTCCAGAGTGGTAGCTGCTGGAACGCACCGCAATCGCTCACAAAACTTCCCCCTTCATTCTGGGGCTGGAGCGGCGTGGTGCATTGAAGTCAATGGCACCGCAGCCACTCCCCCCGCCCACAGTGCGGTCAGATGCGTGGCAAAACAATGCCTGCGTTCCGGTCCACTGCAAACGCAAAAAAATAGAGCATGCATTATTTTTTGCATTTGCAGTGGACCGGAACGCAGGCAATGTTTTGCCACACGTCTGATTACACCCGCGGGGGGCGTGGCTGCGGTGTCATTGACTTCAATGCACCGCCACGCCCCAGAATGCAGCGGGGAAGTTTTGTAAGTGATTAGGGTGCGTTCCAGCAGCTACCGTTCTGGAACGCACCGCAATTGGTTGTGAACAAGCCCTTACATGCCTCTAACCACTGTGTTCAGTGCAGGAGATGGCAGGAACACACCATCAAAGAAGCATGCATATTTTATCAGTGTATTGGATACCTTCATACAAGAAGTTCTGTTCACTTTGTACCAGTTTATTAATTGTAACCAAAGAAAATAAATACTATTGCATTGTGCCGTCTAATTCATTGTTGGTGCTGAAACCTAGAAAAGGCTCTTTTTTTTATACAATGTCAGTACAGTTAGTTGTCTGGTGGAGTGAAGTGGAAGTTGTCAGCTGACAACCCTTTCTGTGGTGAAATTTAGGTAATCTGCTCCTCCTATTTGAGGCAGCCCATCACACATAGTGATGGGCTCGGGCGTGTTCGCAGCTCCACGTGCCGAGCCCGCCAGGAAGCTGACGGCGCCAATCACAGGTACTGAGACATTATCCCGGTCCGCAGCTGCAGAGATCGGGAAATGACTTAGTACCCGTGATTTGCACTGTCAGCTTCCTGGCTGGCTCGGCACGTGGAGCTGCGAACACGCCCGAGCCCATCACTAATCACAAACAGCAAAATGTTTATGTGAATGTTACTATGAATATACTGTAGTTGTCAAGTGAGAGCAGCTACCTTTTCCAGTAGGTAACTGAGCCGGTTGCAGGAGAAGTATGCACTTCCTGTGGAAAACACTTTGAGGCTGGGTGTACACTGTTGTGCTTCCTTACAGCATGTGCATTAAAATGCATTAGCCACTCTCCAGAAGGAAGGACAGTGTCAGCACCAATTCAGAGATGATTTGAGGATCTGCAGCTGAGTGATACACAAATAAAATACATTTCTGTTAATAGTTATGGTACTTGAATGCATTTTTAAAGGGTGTAGTGTCATGTTAAGAGACCCATTTAATGATGAACTAGCTGCCTAATCAGCAGCACACACGCGCTAAGAAGGTGCGTTGGGGTGCTGAATGCAACAGCATCACACCATGGTGCATTAAGGCAGCCTGAGTGTGAACAGGGCCTATAGGAAGCCTGTATTCAAAAAAAATATAGTTGCCCGAGTGTCTGTGGCTTCAGAACTTTGAGTCACTGACCCAGAACAAGCATGAGAGCAGCTGCCCGCCTTCCAAAGAAGCCCATAGAGCGGCTGCAATCCACAATCTTCTTTTGACACACTGGAAGATTATTTATATTGATTTATTACAACGCCTGACGAAGTCCGAAGGGACGTAACGTATGTAGGGCGGAGCCATGATCGCAGCACAGAGCATTGTAGTGACGGGAGCAGGAAGGATCTGGTTACCTCTTACATGGAGCACGGCGGGACTCCATGGCACACTACATGTTTGTTTTTATGTGAGCAGAATTTGAATAAAGTTTTTTCTAGTTTAAACACTCTGCACTATGATGTATGTTCCTATTTATTTCGGTTGATCAGTCGGCTGCTATGTGGAAGCATTGGTGATTACAATCTTGCACCTCCTGAAAAGGTGTCCCTGCCCCGATATCCGAAGAGGGATTGGCATGATCAGATTTTTTGTAAGGGTTAAAGAATAAGGTGATCATCTGTCTATACGGGGAATCCACGAAGGTGTTACATATGAGGTGGAGGAGGAGGATCACTGTTGGAGGCTTCCAGAAACTGCAGTGTGAAGATTAGGACCGGGAGAGAGGCCGGAAGGACCGGTAACAGAGCAAGCTGGCTCTGAGGATCGGGTGAGTATAACTTATTTATTTTCCTCCCTAGGCCACAACAAGCAGTTAACCCTTGAAGTTTTGGGGATAGAACGCTGCAAGGGTTAATAAACATTTTAACTTAATCAAACGAAGTAGGGATGCACTTATACGGGGCATTTTCACGAGTACTCTTACTCAAGAAAATGCCACGATACCAACGCTTTAAATTTTTTAATACATTTGACTGCCATTAGGTCGTACGGCGCTTGCTGGGGACCTCATGGGGGCTGTTTACAGTGCCGGCCACACATCTCCTTCCCACCGCCCGCACAGCCTCCTGAGACGCCGCATGCAGCCCTGGTCAGACCGCACAGCCCTGGTCAGACCCCACACAGCCTCCTGAAACCCTGTACAGCCCTGATGAGCAACTGGTTTAGCTTTATATTATTCTTTATTGCTGGGATTTGCAGTCCTTCTACAGCTTGGAGTCAGTGGCAGAACTACCAGGGTCGCTGCGGTCACATCCTAAAATCATTACATGACACTAAAAAAAAAAAGGTATCGGTATCTGCGAGTACTTGAGGAAAGGTATCGGTACTCGGTCTTGAAAAAAATGGTATCGGTGCATTCCTAATATGAGAGGGGTACCTGAGCTTTGTTGACTAGGGCCAAGGTGCACTTAGTAAATACTGCCATTTGTTAAAATCAATTGAACCAAAAACATTTGCTATATCTGCAGGATGCCCACTAAAAGAAAAGGCCCAGGGTAAGAGGACATGGATTTACAGACACATGACTTGAAAGTCAGTTCATACACAGACACTGCATGCACAGGAGATATTGTAACACATGCATTAAACGTGTTCTACATTCTGGGAGTAGGAATAACAAATGATGTATTTATGTGGTGCAGTGGACGTTCATCATCGACACAGTATGGAAAAATACATCCTTAGCAGGACCGCATTTTAGAGCACCTCTAATGAAACGTGTTCAGAATTCTAGAGCTGTAAAGGAGCTGTGCTGCTGATGAAGTGTCCTAGTACAGCTAATGTATATGGTTATAGTTGTAGAACCTGGTACAATGAAAGTCTGGCCTGGAAGATCTGGTATCTTTTTATACAGTCATGGCCATAAATATTGGTACCCCTGCATTTCTACCAGATAATGCACCACTTTGCGCAGAAAATTGTTGCAATTACAAATGTTTCGGCATTCTCATGTTTATTACTTTTGTTTGTATTGGTATGACATAAAAAAAAAAAATGGAGAAAAAAAAAGCCAAATCTGACACATTCCACGCAAAACTCCAGAAATGGACTGCACAAAATTATTGGCACCTTCTCCAAATTGCAAGAAAAAATTGCATTCCAAGTTATCGTGGAAAAGCATGGACAATCTCAAGGTTACAAGTCCATCTCCAGAGATCTTAATGTTCGTGTGTCCACTGTGCGCAACATTGTCAAGATGTTTACAGTCCAGGGCACTGCAACTAATCTCCCTGAACGTGGATGAAAGAGAACAATCGATCATAGATTGTAACAAAGGATTGTTCGAATGGTAAATAAAGGCCCTCACTCAACTTCCAGACATATTCAAGCTGACCTTCAGGCACAGGGTACAACTGTGTCAACTCGCACTATACGTTGCCATTTAAATGAAAAGGGACGCTACAGTAAGAGACCCAGGAGAATCCCACTGCTGACACAGAAACATAAAAAAGCCAGATTGGCGTTTGCCGAAACTTACCTTTGGACGCCAAAATCCTTTTGGGAGGATGTGCCATGGAAAGACTAAACAAAATGACAGCTTTTTGGTAAAGCCCATCACTCTACTGTTTTCAGAAAAAGAAATGAGAAAAAAATACAGTCACACATGGTGTAGGTTCACTGATGTTTTGGGGTTGCTTAGCTGCTTCAGGCACTGGATGTCTTGACTGTGTGCATGGAATTATGAAATCTGAAGACTACCAAAGAATTCTGGGGTGCAATGTAGGGCCCAGTGTCAGAAAGGAGGGTCTCCTTCAGAGGTCTTGGGTCTTAAAGCAGGACAATGACCCAGAGCACAAGTCAAAAAGCAACCAGAAATGGTTTCAGACAAAGTGATGGCGAGTACTGTGCTGGCCAGCAATGAGTCCAGATCTGAATCCCATAGAGCGCCTGTGGAGAGATCTCAAAACAGCAGTTGGGAAAAGGAACCTTCCAATCTGAGAGACCTGGAGCAGTTGGCGAAAGAAGAGTGCTCCATAATTCCTGTAGAGGTGTAAGAAACTCATTGATGGTTACAGGAAGCAATTGATTTCAGTTATTTTTTTCCCAAGGGCTGTGCTTACAAATATTAATTGAGGGTGCCAATAATTTTGTCCGGTCCATTTTGGAAGTTTTGCCTGAAATGTGTCTGGTTTGGCTTTTTTTTCCCCTCCACTTTTTTGTGTCATACCGATACAACCAAAAGAAATAAACACGAGAATGCCTAAACATTTGTAAGTGCAACAATATTCTGCGCAAAGTGGTGCATTATCTGACACAAATGCAGGGGTGCCAATATTTTTGGCCATTACTGTATGCTGCTGACTACTGCATGTTTACTTGCTGGACACACTGGATCCACATGCCAGAGTGATTTGTAAAATAACAGTCCCTACTGCTTATCGGTATGAATCAATATACCAGTGACTAAAGCGGTCATGAAACAAAAATTGCTGACCCAATCACAAAGACCCTCCTGAAATGCTAGTTGTCTGGCTGTCATGCTGATGATTTTGTTTCGCTATCTTGTCACTGACCAAGTTTGCAGACCTTCCTGATCTACATACTTGTTCAGGGTTAGTGACTTGGGAAATATACTGAAGCCAGATGATAAAGAAAACATCCACTCTGCTAGCATTTTCAGTAGTAGGTGAGCAAAGGCGGCCCCCATAGCCTAGAACTGTCCTCGCCAAAGGAGGACACTTTGATAAGTATGCTAGGCATACCTGCGTAAAACTCGGCAAGCAAACAAAAGTTCCTCCGGCGCTGACAGCCAACAAATAATTCACTTGTCAATTTAGACTGACCCAGGGGTGCTGCTCCTCCTCAGATCGGAATGTTCTTGTCCAAAACATGCAAAAAGAAACAAACAGAAAGAGCGTCCACCCTGTGTAATACGGATTCATTTATTAAATAGCTTTAAAAACAGACTACTCACAAACGTATCGGCATGCAAAACTTGTAAGTGGATTCCAAAGTAGAATGGTAGTCTATATGAACAATCCAAACAAACTCCCAGTCTTTAGTCCGAGTTGCTATACGCCGACATCGGCTGTGGGTAAGTGATTGAAGCATTTCCTGGGGCTTCTGGTGAAAGGGGCGTGCCCCAGGAAACACATCAACCACTTAACCACAGCCGATGTTGGCATATAGCAACTCGGACTGAAGACTGTGGGAGTTCGTTTGGATTGTTCATATAGACTACCATTCTACTTTGGAATCCACTTACAAGTTTGACAAATGCCGCTACGTTTGTGAGTAGTCTGTCTGTTTTCAAAGCTATTTAATAAATGAATCTGTAGTACACTGGGTGGGCGCTCTTTGTTTGTTTCTTTTTTTTTATAGTAAAACTCCCTTTAAAGAGGAACTTGACCCTTATCTTTGAAATGACAACAAAACACACCTTTAGAAATGTTTAGTAATGACAATCTACAAACACATACTTCTAGATAATTGCCGGCTTTTTATTCTTTGCATTCCTTATTTTCATTTCCTCCCCATTCTTCTCACAGTGGCCATTTTTACTATGGGCAGGTTACTAGATCTCCCTTTACTTCCTGGAGCTCTGGCACACGTGACCATGCACATCATCTCAGGGGAGGAAAGTGTCTTTCCCTGAGATCTCGTGAGGTTACAGATGAGATTTCCCAGCAATGCTCTGCTGCTGTAACCTTCCCAGGATGCAAAGCTTGGGCACATTACATCACAAATGCACAAGAGGACCAGGAAGTGGAAAAACAATCATTCTAAGTAAAAGAAAAATATGTTTAATTAATGAATGTAAGATGATTTCATTTCAGCATGCAGAGCTGTATGCGGAGGTGATTTTTAGTGAAAGGAAGTAAAGGTCCATTGAATACAGGTATACAATACATCACTGGTGTTATGAAATAGGCAACTTAAAAGAAATAAAACTAATCGAAATTAGGTTTAACTTGTATTTAAAAACAAAATTGCAGGCATACAAACTTGAAACATCAGACATTGTTCAATATAACACACAATTAAGCTGCGACATTAGGAGGAAGTTCCTAAGTACTTTATAAGTCCATCAGATGGTACTAATTCTATTAGGACCCAAACCCGGAAGTATATAAGCACATCTTAAGAGGCAGTTCGATGCCCTGTACATTATGGGGGGCATTGATCAAAACTGGAGCAAACAAAATCTGGAGCAGTTGCTCATGGCAACCAATCAGCTTCTCTCAAGATTCAAAAATGAAAGAGAGAAGGCGATTGGTTGCCATGCACAGCTGCTTCAGATTTTGTCTGCTCTAGTCTTGATCAATTCCCTTCTATGTATTTACATTACGTAGTGCAACAAATTCTGCGTGTTTTACAACAAATACAGACCATTCATATCAGCTGCTGCCCCAGGAGGAGCGTACAGTCCAAAGTCCTAACTACAGATATAGATATGCACTACAGCAATGTGTCTGTGTTTATTTTCACTTAAATTTACCGGAATTCCATGCAAACAAGGGGAACATACCTGTGGTTTCCATGATGAGATGGGCCTCAGATTCCAGCACTGCAAGGCAAAACCTGTTTTGCTACAGTGCTACTTTTGTCATTATGCTTTTTCATACACAAGTACTAGCAGGGTGGAAGTCGATCGTCTCTGTCCTACGCACACAGCACTGGCCAGTTCTCCACCTCGCTTTGTAAGGTACATGGACGCAGCTCGCAGTAGCGTGTGTATGAAAGCCTCCATTCATCATAAGATGAATAACTGCCATCCTCCACATCTGAGTACATTCTAGAGCACGATATAAAGAACAAACATGCATTTCTTATGATGTGCTTATATGTTTGAGCCCAAACTATCCAGCAGGTGCACTATATTAAACCTTCAAGTAAACATGACTACACCATAAAAAGTTTGCTTTTTTTATACTAGCAAACTGTGCGTTGCTCCACATTTTTAAACTCCTGGGAGTACAGGAGCAGATTAGGGCCAAGAAGCAAGTCTGGGAGACAGTGGATAAGTCGCAGTCCATAGTTTTTCAACCACCCTGTCTTTACCTATCCTCTGTAATATGGAACATCATGAAATGGTAAGCCCATAAATAGAAAAAGACAAAGTCAGGTACTGGGGTTACTGGAAAGAACATTCATTCCACATGACAAAATCTTCATGTTTCCAGCGTCTCTTCATTTGCCCCGCATGTGTCCACAACACATATTAGGCAGCTGGTCACAGGGAATGCTCGCACTTTAGAGTTGGCGACCCACTTGTCCGTCTCTGTGTTGTACTCTAGTATATGTCCTAAACGGCCCACTCCTTGGAAGCCAGCCAGTACGTAAATCACTGAGCCCACTGCTGCACATTTCACAGTCACACCTTTCCACGGCATTGGAGACACCATCTTCCATTCATTAAGTTTTATATCGTAGTACTCAACGCTGTCCAGGCCACCTGAAAATATACCACAAGTTACTGTCAGCATGGATAACTTCACAGCCGTAACACAGCTACCATCATCATATGCCTAATAAGCTGCAATCACATGCAACAGGACAATAGAGAACACTTACCCACAGTCTAAATACTGAACAATACTGGGATTCCTTTTATTTCTGCAGCATCTATCACTACCTTGCATTGCTATTTACAAAAAGGCCACACAGTGACGTCCCCAGCCCAGTTTTCGAAAAGTTAGTATTGGCATATTATTTTCACAATTGCAGTAGCACACTTCAAAGGCAAGCTGGTCCTGTGAGGGTAGGACGCAGAATTGGGCCTACTGTGTTGGTCTAGCAGTGCTGTCAGCTTTCCTGACAAAAAACTACCAAATATGCTGTTTGAGGATAGAACATACCTAAACCATTCTGTCCCCCAATGGCAAATATTTTGTCTCTCACAAAGACCAGTCCATGGTTTTTCCGTGCTTCAATCATTGGGCACAGTTCGGTCCACCTAGAAGAATAAATTGGTTAATAAAAATTGTTTATAAAGAAAAAAAAACAGCCATAAAACGTAACAGGTGTTGTCTTTTTTATAATGACAGAATATATACAGAATATTGGGCCTTATTTATCCATATGTGTCAGAAACATAAATTACCTATTGTAATCTGTGTCAGAAATGGGGTCAGAAAATGTAGGTCATGACATTAGTACCTACGGCTAACAGAACTCATTTTCACTACTACCAGTTTATCTTCTTATACCCGGGTTGGACAAATTAATATGGAATTCAGGAGTCAATCTGTCCAATCAAGGAGTCAGCTCCATTAACAACTAGCGAAAACCTCCAAAGTTAGACAACAGCTGTAATTCAGAAGTACCATTGGTTAACCTGGTTCCTGGGATTTGTCCAGCCCTGCTTTTAACAATAAACAAATGAATGCATTATGAATTAATGATACACTTTCAAACTATAACTGTTATACATAAAAAAAATATATTCAACACTAGAGCCTTTATAAATGACCATATGCATGCACACAATGGGGGGAATGTATCAAAATCTGGAGCAGCTGTGCACTGCAACCAATCAGCTTCTGTCTTTCATTTTCAAATCTTGACTGAACTGAAGAGAGAAGCTGATTGGTTGCCCTGGGCAACTGCTCCAGATTTTGTCTGCTCCAGTTTTGATAAATGCCCCTCACTGTGTGTATACACCTCTAACAAAATCACAAAGTTGTATGTAAATAGGCAGTCTAATAAAAAAAACCATGAAAGCTGTTCATAATCAGTTGATGCAAACATTGGAGGGTGTGATTCTTCCTGAATTCTATCACCAACAGGGTTCTGTGGGCACAGATTCGCCCCTTTATTGAACGCCAGATGGTAAAGGTCAACTACATTCACTAGACACACTCCATGTGATTTAGTACAGATTAGCAGAATATTCTGTTTTGATGAAATACGTCAAGCACCACAGCACTGATGTAATTTTGCTGGCCACAGCAAACCAAGCAGTGGTGTCTTGTATCTGAAACTTTGTGAAAACGATCCTCGAGAATGATTTTATCCATGTAAAGATTTACTGTAGTACACTTGTGGGAGAGTTTAGCTGTATTTTTTTCCAGTATACCTCTATAAGGAGCTCTGACGATTAGAAGGTTAGCTGTTATCTATGGTGAGAATGATTTGCGCAATCTTCTGGTAACCTGTGCCAATTCATGAACACCATGTCCAATGTAAAATGGTGGACTGCGCATTAATATCTGAGGTCCACAGAAGGGTGTCTTGGTGCCAGAATCGGGATATTACTCTTTCACAGGTAACTACTCCCTTCAGCAGTTTCCTCCTTATAGAAATACATTTTATTGCACACACACTTACGTTTCTGTTGTCGGATCATACACCTCACAGCAGTTCAGCACTCGACCAGATACATTGTTCCCCAAACTGCCTCCACACACATAGATCAACCCATTGGCCTCCACCATGCCATGACTGCAGCGCTGGGTAAGCATACTGGGCTTTGTGTGCCAGCTTTCTGTCCTGGTATCATAACATTCAAATAAGTAGAGAGCAGAGTTTCCTGTAAACGCAAACAAGAGGTTCAAATAAAATATAATACAACTAAGGAGTGTAATACTGGACGCTACCTAACTGAATGACCTCAGGTGAGCATACAGGTGAACGCTGAATACTAAACACTCCCAAAGGAAAAATTCTAATATATATATATATATAAAATACATACACAGTATATATATATCACATACATACACACATATACTGTACATAAATATATATTATATAGGCCTTATGATACCCATATACTTACACATCTAATTGCCAAATTACTGATTAGAAGGTTTATTTTAAAAGGTTAAAACATAATTTACACAATACAGAAACCAACCTTGCCCTAAGCCTTATTCAACAAATGTAAAATGTGTGTATTAGATTCTACACTGCATTGGAACGAAGACTGATATTAGTATATACCACAAAACAGATATAAATAAAACAATTGAAGCAGAAAAATACTTTGGATTGAAAATAGAAACATAGGAGCGGTGATTCCTCACCTACTTCTGAACCCCCGGATGTGTAAATTTTGCCTTCAGCGGCGCATGCAGCCAGGCTGTCTCGCGGTGTTGGTGGCCCCAATTTAGAGTACCAGGAGTCCTTTACAACATTGTAGCAGTCCATTCTCTTAATAGGAAAGAGTTGAGAGCCACCTAAAATATAGACCACATTGTCCCAGAACACACAGGCTGCATCCCTGCGCTTCTCAAATGGACACCGGATATCTGTCCAATTATAATCCTGTCACAATAAAGCACAGGGGTTAATATATGGTCAATAAAGATAAAAAAAGCAAAAAAACAACAAATTAATACGTGACAACTAATATAAAGAGGCTAACTACTTTTAGAATAGTTCTCAGAACTGTACATGAACAAAACAATGGCTAACCTTTAATAATGGTGATACCCGTTATTGCACCGTGCAGCCTACAACATTCCAATCTTGTGTTTACATAAGTTAATGCTACTGCATCTACTAGCATGAAGCTAAAAGATGGGAAGGTAAGTCAATGTCGGTGAGGCTGACAATGAATGATGGGCAACCTATCACTGAGCTCTCCTCTCAGTTGCAGGCCAAGGGTGGGCAAAGGCAATGAGTTCAAGAACAACCACTAATATAAGTATTCGATAGGGACTGTGCAACCAAGCTGCAGGGAACAAACAAAGAAAACCATTCAAGTAACATATGCACGTAGTAGACTATTGCCCCACCACTTATACTTACCTTCCCCATTTGCTCTCCTGTCGCACCATTAGCCCACTGAAGCGAAGAGGAAAACAAAGCGACTCTCTTCACTTGCGCCAAAGACCGAACACTGACAAGCTGAGTGGCCAATTACCAGGGTAGAGTACGGTAATTCGGGGTCAGTAGAGTGGACAAAGCCATGTGTAAGATCTGACCAGATCCAGTTGGAGCTTATGTGGGGCTTTTTTCAGTTGGCTCTGGTGGGCAAAACAGGACAACAATGCAGGGGTTTGGGGGCCATTTAGTAAACATGTTCCTTTCGCCTGCATTCTATCTATCGGGTCACATTAAAATATATTACAACTCTTCTGCAAGGACATAGGCTCTGGCGGAAGCTTTACCAGGCACCAAGGTTCCAGCGGTGGGATTGGAGACAGGAGGGTAGAGCTGCTCCATGTTTCCCGATTGCTTCTGCAACCACAAACTTATTTTCTGTAATATCCCAATGCCACATGACCAATATGAATGAGACATAATTTGCGTAAATATTGCTTCCTCTCCCCAGCATGTTTGAGCTAAGAAGGTCAGGACTAGTAAAAAGTTGCACTCCCAAGATCCAATGAAAGCTTTTAATGCTAAGACATTGTTGAGAGAAAAGACTGAGTTTCTTGAAACTTGATCCAACTACAGTCAGAACGTACTTTTGGGTTAAAGTATCTACAGGATTGAGGCTGTGAGCCGCCAAATAAAGCGATTCGATAGTCATGTTTCTTTCTCCGTGGCCTTGTGCCATCCACAAGCTCTTCCCTATCTTCTGGAGAGAGAAGGTGATAACGCATACCACCTATAAGAAGTACAAACACAAAAAAATTGTATAAGCTTCTAGAGCTTAAGGAGTGGCCGAGCCTATTGGTCAGACAGAAGTACAAGTACATATACAGAGAGAACAAGCAGAAAGGGGGAAATGGAAATCTGGCACATTTTATTATGATGATAAATGTAACAGCTAATCACTTCATGTAGAGGGGACACAATATGAACCAAAAGGCCCTAGAGGTTTGGGCTATATATGTGCTGTAAAGCAGCAGAAATAAAGTTGTTATCAAAATGATCCAACCCCCATTGCCAATCAGGTTTAATGGCAAAATGTACAGATTTTCAGCTGTTTGCAATGAAAAAATCCAACAAAAGCAATTGAAATAGGTCAACACAACTGATTTTCCGAAATTCAACTGAAAAGGCAACTTTTAATGACATCTGCAGTCTCGAAATTATTCAACCCCTTCATGGTAAGCATCTTTAGTAAATAGTAGAGCACCCTTTTACTGTTATGACCTGTTGCAAATGAGATGCATAGCCAGATACCAGCTTCTGACAGCGTTCCTGAGGAATCTTAACCCATTCCTCATGAGCAATGGCCTCCAGTTCACTAATATTCTTGGGTTTGCGTGCTGCAACCGGCGCCTCCATATCCCAGCAGAGATTTTCTATGGGGTTCAAGTCAGGTGACTGCGATGACTACTGTAGAATCTTCCAAGAATTCTTCTGCAACCAAGCCTTGGTGGAATTTGAGGTATGCTTCGGATCATTGTCCTGTTGGAAGGTCCAATGATACCCAAGCTTCAGCTTCCTCACGGATGGCATGATGTTTTCTCCTAGGGTTTCCTAATACTTCAATGAATCCATCTTCATTGCACACACTGCAGGTTTCCAGTGCCAGAGGATGCAAAGCCACCCTAGAGCATCACCAAGCCACCATCATGCTTAACTGTAGGCAGTGTTCTTTTCAACGTATGCTTCATTCTTCATCCTCCAGACATACCGCTGATCCATAGGGCCGAAAATTTTCAGTTTTCTTTCATCGTTCCACAGAACAGAATCCTAAAACTTCTGTGGCTTATTTATATGATTTTGAGCATATTGAAGCCGTCTTCTCTTGTGCTTTTGGGTCAGTAGTGGTATATTGTACATCTTGGAATTCTGGCATGGAAACCTTCTGCGTTTAGTACATGCCTTACTGTGCAAACCGAAACCTCAGTGTCTGTTGCCACCAAATACTGCTGCAAGTCTTTTGCAGTCACTGGAGGAGGGTTTTTCTCAACCTGCCTTCTCAGAAATCTGGTTGCAGCCATTGATAGCTTCCTTTTTCTGCATCGTCTAGGTAGCGTAACCACTGTTCCTTTAACTTTGAACTTGCGAATTATGCTTCCAACAGTGTCTCTAGGAACATTCAGTGCCTTCGCTATCTTTTGTTCCTTGTTTGTGAAGGGCAATGGTCTCTTCTCTTAACTTTTTTGACCATTCTTTTGACATATTTCTAACATGCAGTCAAAAGTGACACTCAAACTCCTAGCCAGTTCAGGTATGCCATGTTTTCTAGCTCAAGCACACCTGGTGCAACTTATGAAGGCGTTACTTAGTTACAACAGGTGTGCTTGAGACGACACCTGTTTTGCAGCTGTGTGCTCTCGTGAGGGATTCTATTCAGGGGGTTGAATCATTTCAGGCCCCATTCGCACACGAATCGGCCTGCACATACAGCTCCGTGCTGCATGCGGGGCCGTACCAAGCAGCTGCCGGGAAGGACAGGTGCTGCGAGTGATTAGTACGCAGCCCCCGTCCTTCTCTATGGGGCTACGCAGCCGTATGTCCCCCTACGCTGGCCCGCCCTGCACGTCCGTAGGGGTGCGGGTGAGCGTATTCATACGCGGCCAGAATGGCTCCTGTATGCGTCCCAGACAGAAAACCCGCACCCCTACGGACCTGCAGTTAAGGTGAGCGTACGGCTGCGTAGCCCCATAGAGAAGGACGGGGGATGTGTACTAATCACACACAGCACCTGTCCTTCCTGGCAGCTGCTTGGCACGGCCCCGCACGCAGCTGTACGTGCAGGCCTAAAAGTTGCATTTTCAGTTGAGAAACCACTTGAAACATTTCTTGTGTTGACCTATTTCAATTGCTTTTGTTTGATTTGTTCATTGCAAAACAACTAAAAGTTAGTAAATTGTGCCAATAAACCTGATTTGCAATGGGGGTTGAATACTTTTAGAGCTGCAACTAACGATGATTAGTTGGCAGAATTTTTTTTTGATTAATTGATAAAAAATAAATACAGATAATCCTCGCTTAACGACTTACCTGTTTTGCGACCACTCACACTTACGACCGTCCTCCGAGCGACCTCGCGCGTCAGCATCAGTGCGACCTGTCGCCGGTGGAAGTGACGTCCTCCGATCTTCACTGCGGGTCCCGGTAAGTATTTTCATTGCCCGATGTACAGTACACTGTTCGGTACTGTACATCTGCAATGCTATACAGTTCTGTACTAATGCAGCACAGTACTGTATAGAGTTCCTCACTTAACGACCAATTCGTTTAACGACCTTGTCGTAGGAACGGAACTCGGTCGTTAAGTGAGGAATACCTGTACCATCTTTTATTTAAAATAAAATACACAAATGCAGGTGTTACAAACAAAGTTTACTTCAGAATAAAACCGCATGCAAATTTTTTTTGCAATCGCACCGCACTGGAACGCACGGCATTGCAGTGCGGCATGTTCCAGTGCCGGCGATCACACTGCAGGCGGGAGGCGCATTTGGGGTGCCATTGAAATGAATGGCACCGAAACACACATCCCACAGGAGAATTTGTCAGGCCGAAACCAAAAATTACTTTCCCCACCTTTTTTTAAAAAATAAATTGTATGTATATCAGACATTTTTTTTTTTCAAAAATGTTTAATTGAAATTTTCACATTTCTACAACCAAGTACTATCCAGGTTATCACTCAATAAAGCAGGCGAATGTTACATCACACATCCCAAAGGGAAAAAAAAGGAAAAAGATGCATTCTTTCAGTTCCCAGGCTGACCTAGTAAACTGTCCGTGGCCCGATGGATTATATCTTTTATTTAAAATAAAAAAAAGCCCAGTCATCAGTTTAGAGTTAGCCATGAATAGTGGCCCAAGAATTATTGCTCTCACTCTGGCGCATGCAGCGATACTGGACATGTGTAGCGCAATCTTAGTTTTCGCTCGTAGGTGCACCCGACTTGTGTTTCCGTTAGTATGCGCGCATTTGCGGGGTTGGGGGACATTAAACTTTTTTGGGGTATTTTTAATTTAATTTTACTTTATATTTTACTTCATTGCTATCACATGGGTGGGGGGCTCACAAGCCCCCTATATGATAGCACGTAGGAGGTGACAGATTCTCTTTAAGACAGCAAAAGGATTCCCAGCACACTCACCAGCCAGCATGCAAAAAAACCTGTCTCACCGATAACGTTATAAACAGAGGTTTAGATACAAGTCTTCTGCAGAAAATGTGAAAGCCGCACTGTCTCGCCAACGCACCTCTATATAGTGCGGTCCTAACTCTAAACTATGAGAGTCTCCATCTTGGAGCACATGTGGCAAAAGATAAAATTGGGTGCAGAAGACGTGTATCTAAACTTTTTGCTGTATAAAGCCCTTCCATGTGCACCTTGCTTAGAGCTGGTTACAAATTGATGAGTGCGTTTGCCATTTGTTTTGCTTGACAGATTCTCTTTAAGGTGACATTAGGGGTCTATTAGACCAGCAGCCAGGGGGCGGGTGCAACAGCCAGCCTGCTATTGACTATTCAACTAATCAGAATCAACTAATCGATAATATCGATTAGTTGTTGCAGCCCTAAATAAGTGTGATTACAACTGTAGATGCACAGTTCACTCAGAGGCATAAGGAAATTATTTGAATGGCTCCTAACCAAAAAATTAGTAATATAACCCTTGTTTTGTTTTTAAGGGATATGGTAAAAGAATATTCTTTTGCTATTACCTCGTATTTAGTAAATTGCAAACAATCATTTTTCTAGTATAACGCAGAATATTAGATGATCCCAGTTCTATCGCACCAAAATCAGCCTGATAATTAAGATAATCAGAAAAAGCTACATATATCCTTAGCCGGTGAAAACACGGTCAGGTTGGACTTTTCAGCCACAGAGGTGAAAACACATGGGCACCAGTAGGATAAATGTACAGGTTTGTGCGCTGATCAGATCAAAGCTCGATTGATAAAAGGTACCATTGACTACTAACAAGCAAGTACTACAATCAATGGCCAGCTACACACTCTCATAGAGAACTGTTACTTCAGAGAAGGGCTCACTTACTGATCACCATCTTTAGACATTCTGGATTGTCTTGTATCAAAGGCTCAGCCTGCACGGTCTTGCTTAGAAAGTTCTTGGAGATCAGAGGAAATCTGACTTTGGCAAGGATGTCCACCATGTATGGTTGCCGATTTGGTTCATCATACTTTAACCACCTCACAGCAGCATCGTAAACCTAACAAAACAGAAATATACAGAGAACATTTACATTACAGTCGTGCAGTGTAGGCAATATGCAGTGCACTTGCCACATAGTTATTGTATAGTGACTGTGCCGCCCCAACAGGGGCATAGAATATGAGATGC